TAGTAGTAGTAGTAGTAACAGTAGTCAGGAAGGCTTCGGCATCAGTATCCTCGTCATCATCGTCATCCTCCTCCTTCCCATCATTCTTGCAGGATCGATTTTCCATTAATTACTGCCACCGTCATCATCGGCTTCGTCGTTGTCTTAAGGAGCACCTTCATCATCGTCAATGTCATCTCTGCTGGCCTTCATGCTGTCTCGAACAAAGACCCGGGTGCTCCAGATCGGAAAGGAATAGAGCCGCGCCGGGGTGTAAACAGTGCCTCAGTGATGACTTGTGCGGCAATCGCGGTGCCATCAGAGTTTCATCCCCTCAGCTGCTGTGATGATGGTGACGATGATGCTTCACACGACTCAGATGTCTTTACATTTGCAGCCGAAGCCTTCGGATTGAGGCTTCGGTCAGCCTGATGCTCCCAAAGGAAAGACCTATGGACCAATGGAGCTTGCTGTAGTTCAGGATTTGGTGATTTGTGGGTTCACGGCTCCATGTCCCGCTATTCTGGAGTTTAGAGCTAACTTGAGAGGCAGGGCAGATGCTGCGCACTCGAGCCACACATTTCCAGCTTTTCCCGGCGCTCTAACCGGCGAATTGAAACGGCTGCTGTGGCGGTTGCAACGCCGGAGAGCAGCTGTCCTTGAGCATGACATGAACCACAAACCCCGAGCTGTCGATCCCGAGCTAGAAGACCAGCCCACACCGCAGAGACTCCCATATACCGTAGCATTATACCATTAAACCCCCAAACTAGTGTATGTAATTATTTAGGCCCCTATACTACCGCAATTGAGGTTCCCGGAAAACGAGACTCCAAAAACATATCATGGAATCAGGGTTTATATAGGGTTTAGGGTTTTCATTCGTCTAGGATGTTGGAGTCTCCGGGACCGCAGTTCACTCAGAACTCCTTAACCATGAGCCGACAACGCCCAGTGACAGGACTCGAAATGACGGAAGCAGAGTAGCTGTAGTCTGAAACCCTAAACCCTAAACCCCTAAACCCTAAACCCAAAACCCTAAACCTTAAAGAACCCAGGCAAGTACTCAACGCGAAAACTGAGACGTCTGCCAGAAGGGCCCACGCAATTGGCGGCATCGGGGCATGCCTCTTCACAGTCCCACCACATGCTATGACTCCGTCTGGCCCGCAGTACGACCAGACGCTAAAGAAGAGCTCGGTTAGGGTTTAGGGTTTAGGGCACTCATATAGTGATGGTGGCAGTGACGATGATGATTATGCCGCTGCTGATGATGATCGTGGTCCTGATGACGACGATGATGCGGGGGACACGCGAGACGAAGACATGACACGAGGACACAAGACACGTCGACATGTGCATTCCATTCACGAGACATATGGGAGTTTCCGAAAATTGGGGTACCTTATTTTGGGGTCCTTATAATAAGGATCCTACTAATTAGGATGCTATGTTGGGATCCCCATATTTTCGGCAACCCCCATATGGACATGCATGTTTCGAGACAGGAGTTGCGAGGCACACACCAACCGACTCCTCTCATCGCTATAAGTGATGGTTCTGAATGTCAGGAAGAGCCAAAACCCCAGCAGTAGTACTGCTGCTACGAATGGCAGTCAAGAACTCCAGGACGCTGCTCGAAGCCGTCGGAAACAAACGTATCATGCTACCGTCCCGGTTTTGGGTTTAGGGTTTTCTGGGGCTATTAATTAGATTAGTGTTTCAGGGTAATACTATACGAAAATGCTAATATCGGTCTTGATATTTATTCCGACTGCTATAGTAAGGCTCAGAGCCGTGCGGTGAAAGGTGGAGCAGCGGAAACCCATGTCGTGATTCTGGCTTTACCATTCCAGTAACTGTGTAACCGAAGCGCCGCTCAATTGCGCCACAAACCATAACCTTAAAGCAAGCCCCAGGCCCTGAACCCTAAACCCTTACCTCAAAGTGCAAGCGTTAGGCCCTATGCCCTCAACTTTAGCCCCAGGCACCCGAAGTCCTAATTTCAAGACTTCGAATATTTCAAGCCTTCGAAGAGCCAGCTTCAGTGAGACTAAACCCTAAACCCCAAACCCCAAAACCCCAAAACCCCAAAACCTCAAACCCTAAACCCTAAACCCTAAACCCAAACCCTAAACCTTGTCAGTGAGCCTTGACAGAAGCTCCAAAGTCGCAAAGGTGCATCTGCCTCTCTCCGGTTGGTGGTCACAAGTGGCAGCTCTGGGGTTCTGGGAGTTTAGGCTTTAGGGTTTTAGGGTTTAGGGGTTTAGGGGTCTAGAGTTTAGGGTTTAGGGGTTTAGGGGTTTGGGGTTTAGGGTTTAGGGGTTTAGGCTTTAGGGTTTCTGGGTTTCAGGGTTTCAGGGTTCGGGGTCGACGGTCTTTAGAGTTACTCCGTGATGAAAGGTTGAGGTTTACCTATAGTCTCCATTGTAGTTCCTTTTTTGGTTTAACCAGTTATATTGTGAGATTTTATAAAGTATCCCCCAAAAGGAACTACAATGGAGACTATAGTTAGGTTTCGGAAAATGCTGTTCCAAAGCCCGACTCGCGCAAGAAGGCTAGCAGCTAAGCCGTGTGCACTTCATCCGAGCTCTCCACGGGTTCCCACCCATACTCTAAACCCTCAAGGAACGCTGCAAAAGCCCTATAACCTCTTCAAAAAAACTGTTAGGGGTTCCTTTGGGGGATCCTTTTAGGGATTCCTTTCGGGGCTCCTGTAAGGCTTCCTTAGGGGAACCTAAGCCTCAAAGCCCTAAACCGGGGTGTCCGGATGGCGAAGTGTCCGGGCCGCAGCTGGAGCTTTAGGCTTTAGGCTCAAATGCTCTTTCACAGCGGTTTAGGGTTTAGGGCGAAGGGTTTACTGGGATGACGCCGTTCGAAGTGAGAATTGGCGAATCTTTCGTCAGAAGATACTAAACGAATTTCAAAATCGAGAAGTATTCCCCGGAGCGGCCTAGTTTACGCGTCTTGGTATGCGCGGTATCCGACCTGTGAAGAGGCAAGGCCGCTCGAAATTCTTGGACTTGAGCCAAACCCTCTCAGAGAACTCCTTGGGTCCTGCCTAGGAGAGTGTACGATCTAAACCCTCAACCCTAAATCCTAAACAAACCCTAAACCCTAAACATACTAAGGATTGATTGACTGGAAGCTTCTCAACAACAGGAGTTGGGGAAAGAAGTGGTTTTAGGGTTTAGGGTTTAAGTCTTAACAACCTGTGATGTCCTCTGCGACTGCCGAGCCCCGGGCCCTGCGAAGGGGTACATGATGAGCTGCTCCTGTTGAGGTCACGCAGACCCAGAGAGGGGTTTCGAGGTGTATGGAGCCCAGAGAGCAAAAATTGTGTCTCAATAACGGAAACCTTCTTGAATCATAAAAATGATGCCAGAGTATCCCCAAACAGTAATAGAGCACCACGACGACCAAGACAACCGCGACCGACACGACGACCGCGACCAGCAGGACCACCGAGCAGAACCACGACCATGCAGACCAGCCGGCGACCTTCAGAGACTCATAGGCGGAGGAACGTTCCGCGTATGCGTCGGGCGCGAAGCACGGCCACACCCGTCAAACGAACTCGCTTTTATCTACAACCTTTGGGCAGTGAAACATAAAGCTCAAGCATTCCTCAAGAACATAACCAACCACAGGCCCTGCTATATATACGCTGGGCACGACTCTAACATTCTGCAGGAAAAATATTATGCACATATATGCATTCATATACATAGATATAGAGATATAACTTGTATTTCTATGTATTTATATCTGCATAGTACATACACATACATATACATATGCATGTGTGTGCATATATATATATATATTAAAGATCTTCAGTTTTCAAGCAAAAGCTCGATGCCGTCAGAAAGCTCCGAAGGCCCTCCCCTGGGTCCTCGCCAATCATGGAAAGCAAGAAGCCCTGGACCAAGAAATTTAGCCTCGGAGTGGGGTTTAGGGTTTAGGGTTTGGGGTTTGGGGTTTGCGTTTTAGACTCAAGGTCTAGGGGTTTAGAGGTTTTGGGTTTTGGGTCTAGGGGTTTAGAGGTTTAGGGTTTAGGGTTTGGGGTTTGGGGTTTGCGTTTTAGTTTAGGGTTTAGGAGAAGCCCTGGACCAAGAAACTTAGCCTCGGAGTGGATTGAGGGATGGATTCGGGGCTCAGGCTGTTTCTCTGTAGAAGGTAGAACCCTTCAACAAATCTAAACGCCAAGAATCACCCTAAAGATCCTAAAAGGATTTTCTGCATGTATTTAGCCCAGTACTTTAGCAACGATGATGACCCAGGTAATCTGCTGACACTGAGCAAACTGGGTTTGACAGGGATTAATGGTGACGGGGTTGCAACGAATACAATTCTAGCAATTCGATGGAGCTCCTGCCAAGTGATGGGGGCTTCATCTAGGTAACGTGAGGGCTCTTGGTAAGGGAGCTTGTAGTTAAGTTGCCGAAAACAGGAAGGTCCGTTATCTTCGATGCGCCACAGCGATGTAAGGCCGCAGCTCCTTAGCCATTCCCAGAAACAGGCGCATCTTTTCTCACTGCTGCCTGCGAGGCAGATCTGAATTGTCAGCTGAGCGGCCCATTGTTTTAAGATCTGGTGCAATGGCTTCACTGGGTTGTAGTTTTGGGGCCCTGCAAAGTATTTATGAATAGGTACCTCTTTAGAAACCATAAGGGAAATTTTAAAGTTTCCCAAATTGCCACCCAGTTCAGCACATTGCCAAGGTTTGTGAAATTATCGAAATCACCCCTCCAGTACATGACGACCCAGCACTTGTGGCCTCGACGAAGTCGCTTTAAGGTGCAGCCCTCAAGCTGCCATCAGCTGTACATAAACACAAAAAGCCCCACGTGTCGCCGGGAGCCCTAAGAATCACCAATGAACTTCGCCCAACCTTCTTCCCCTAGCTGATACTCTTCCTCCGTCACCAGGGCATCTTCGAGGCGCTTCGTCAGATCTGCCTTGTTGAGGTTCTGTGCAATGAAGACCAACTCTACCTGGGCTTTGAAGTAACCAAGGAGAAAAAAGTATAGACTTTTATTTTATAATGGTTCCTTTAAGGAACAGGTCCCCAAAAAAGTATTAAAGTATGGTACTCCAAAGCCCAGCTACCCGTTTGTCTCCGTGGCGGTTGGCCTTGTACTGCTCGAGGTGCGCCGGCCACTCACTGGGATCCACGTTTCCATGCAGCCAGTTGCCAGATTGAAGGTCTACTGCACCCCCAGCTTGCGCCCAAACCATAGCGGCATTACTTCCTGCGACCCAGAGCAAGCCTTTCGAGCGCAGCAAATCATCAAAGCCCTCTCTCAACACCTTGTCCAAGCGATGTGGATGGAAGGGCTTTGAGGAACGGAAAACCAAACTGGAGATGTTGTACTCCTCAGTCTCGGGCACATGGTTTCCACGCAGCTCCTGTATCCAACCGGGCATTTTCTGAAGCTCACCGAAGTCAAACTTGCGAGTGTTCAGAACTCTTGTCAGATCAATCTTGCCCCAGCTGGATCTCACGATTTCTGCCGTCTGGTTCATTTTCCGGAGCACGGCTTCGAGAGTTACAATCTCGTCCTCCTTCAGCAAGTCCACTTTGTTCAGAACAATGACATTCGCACACTCAATCCTAGGTTCCCCAGGTGGCCTTTAGTAACAAGGGTAGCCTTCTAGATGCTGTTTGGTTTTGATAAGGGAGCCCACAAAGAAAAAGGGCACAAAATGCGTACTACTGGGGATCCTAGAATCTGATCTGCAAGAAGAGAAGCGATGTTCCTTGGCCGACTTCTGAACCCCTCCTGAAAGTTAAACTTTTAGCCGAATCATTATAGTCATTATAGTTCATATAGAGACCCAAAACCCTAAACCCCTAAACCCTAAACCCTAAAACTCCCAAAAGCCAACCTTAGTTGCTGAGTTCACAAGCCCCGAAAAGTGTACACTTTCAGTTCTATAAGGGATCACCTTCCCCCCCAAAAGTGTAAAGTGTGTTCACTGAGCTACTAAGCAACCAAAAGAAAGCCGGGATTCCGCTGGTCGCCAGTCTCAGCTCCCAACTCCTTCCGGTCCACCAGCAGCTCGGTGGTCCTCTCAAGGAAATCTTAGGTCTTACTTCCCCAATAAGCCAGGGAAATAACAGGTTAAACCTTCAGATTTCTACTAAACTATCCCTAAGGGTCCAAGTACCTAATAATCATACACTCTCCCAAATAGTAACCTACATAACTACTATCCGAAACCTAAGTACCTGATTATTAATTGACTCCTTTGGACCCTTCTAAGTGGTTTTTTAAAGGTCTCGCAAGGGGGAATAGCAACCAAAGGAACCCCCTTTCCAATACAAATTACTTGTACGCGGCATGTGTATTATCTATCAGCATATCATATGCCCATCAGGTCTCGCAGAAGCTCTGATTGATAAAACTCTGCGTACACGTATAGAACCGCATAGCCCCTATAAGCGCCTTTAAAAAACAAATAGAACCCCATAGCCCCTGTAAGCACCTTTGAAAAAAATATAGAACCCTATATCCCCTATCAGCGCCTTTAGAAACTTATAGAACCCTATAGCCCCTATAAGCGCCCGTTCAAAACACATAGAACCCTACAGCCCCCTATCAGCGCCCTTTAGAAACAGCCTTGAAGAGTCCTGTAAGTCTCCCAGAAGGTCTTGCCATCTACAACGGTCACCTGGGGCTCAGTTCCGAGGCCAAGAAAAGCTTCAGTACGGTAACAAAATATAAGGGCCTTAATAATTAGAACAGGGTTGTGGGTAGTGTACTTGTACTAAGGAACTCCCAAACTAGTATAGGTGATTATTCAGGCCCCTACATTAGGCGCCTTACTACTCAGAATAGGGCTTTGGGGTGTAGATTCTTTATTTCTGGCAGTGAAAACATAGGGAACCCCGAAACATACTATGGGTATTCAGTCTTGCTTCTGTGTTCGGTGATTTTTCAACTCCAAGCCCCCAATCCCCAATATCCAAACATAACAAGGGTAGTTGTCTAAATTAGGGTCCCTTTTACGGTCCTGTTTATCAGGGTGCCGTACTATTTGAGGAACTAAAAGGGACCCCAATTTAGAGAACTGCCCACATCTGTTACGCAAGCACCCGAAACGTTGACCGCGGAGACCTGGCAGGATTACATGAAACCTATCCCCAACTTACTTCCCCAAGAAGCCAGGGAAACAAAAGGTTAAACTTTCAGATTACTACTAAAGGATACGAACCCAAAAAGTTTAAAGGTTGGGTATTGGGGAACGAAGCCAAACTCTCCATGATGCTCTTACAACCAAGAGACCCTAAACCCTAATCTCTAAACCCCAAGCCGAGGACCTGATACAAAAAACTAGGGCTGAAGGCGGTAATACGGCGGCCTCAGTGATAAGAACAGGGTTTTGGGGTATACTGTACTATCACGCAGTAAGGATTCCCGAAATCGTAAGAGTAATTATTCAGGCCCCAATATTAGCCCCCTAAACCCTAGGCCCCAGACCCTGAAACCCTAAACCCTAAACCCTAAACCCTAAACCCTAAATCCTAAACCCTAAACCCTAAACCCTAAACCATAAACTCAGGGCTTTAGCCAATTCAGCACGTGTTGCCAGGGTGTCAAGCCGTGCGACTCTGCCCAGCATCGCCTGGCCTGGCTACGCTTTGGGGCTTAAAGGGTGTTTAGGGTTTAGGGTTTAGGGTTTAGGGTCTTTAAGGGGGTTAGGGTTTAGGGTTTAGGGTTTAGGATTCAAGTTATGGAATCCTTAAGGGAGGGGGTTCTAAGGGGGGTAGATAGGTTTAGGGTTTAGGGTTTAAGGTTTAGGGGGGTTTAAGGGGGGTATGTAACCCAATAATCCCCAATTCTCCCTAGTACTCCCTTAGGTTCCCTAAAGCTCGCTAAGGATCCCTAGGACCCTCCCCCCTTGAACCACCCTCCCTTAAGGATCCTATAGTTAAAGGGTGTTTAGGGTCTTTAAGGATCTTTAAGGGTCTTTGGGATTTCGGGTCTTCAGGGTCCAGGGTTTAGTCTTTTGGACATTTGTCCGGGTGCTGAACGTTTTTTTGGTTTCTTTCTAGTGCACAACATTTATCAAGGCTTTTACAATGTCTTATACTCTACAGTTACAAGCCTTGTCTATGCAATGTACGATTTCAGAAAACTGCTAGAAAATGGTTAGCAGGGTCTTATGATGATGTTAGAAGCTGTCGAATTTGCGGCTGTAGGGCTTGGGGCCTGGACCCGAGTACGAAACCAGCCCATTTTTCGGTTCCTAGAGGACAGCAGGCACAAGGACCTCGCAAGAACACACGACAAGAAAACACGGCACGAGCACACAAAGCAGGATGACACAACACGAAGACACACCGCATGAGCTTACGGCACGAGCACACAGGAAGCAATGCGAGGCATGAACTGCCGATGTGAGAAAGACATGACCGAGCGAAGCAATGAGACGTACCATGAAGACGGAAGAACTTCAACACGAAACGAGCAACGAATCCAGGACACGAGATACAAGGGAACGATGCCAGGACACCAGAAGAACACAATGTAGAGGCCTCAATAATTGGATTAGGGTTTGGCGGTATATTATACTATTACTATAAGAAGGGACCCCCAAAAAATAGAAGCATTAAGTCCCCTATATTATAGCATGCATCAGAGAGGCGTGAGTCATGACAGCACGACACGGAGACGCGACGCCGAGGACGCGAGAGCCGAGGATGGGAGAGGATGGGAGAGCAGGGGAAGAGTAGCTTTCTAAATTCGGGTCCCTTTTTAGGTCCCCAACATAGTACGGCACCCTTATAAATAGGGACCCCCAAAAGGTACCCTAGTTTAGAGAACTACCCAGAAACGGACACGGAGTCCAAAATAGCCAGGTGCTTCCGATCCTTGTGGCAGTTGACGTGCATCACTCGTGACGAAAATGCGGTAATATGCGACGGGTCAACATACAAAATGCAACCTAACAACCTGTGGAGGCATGAGGAGTTCTTACACACAGTGCACCAGCGAACGTTCTGATTAATTTCCAAAACAGAGATACTGAAAAGTGCTGCCATTTCAGATTTAGTGTGCTGGATCTAGGGTTTTGGACTTCATTTCCAGTTGCCTTCAATGTCAGTCACGAAGGTGGCTGCCACTGGCATCGGCTCAGAAATGCCAGTGCTTTCGATCAACAGGTAGTCGTACTTTTTCTCTGCTGCAATCTGGGTGACCTGACGGAACAAGTACACCAAAGTCAGTTACATAGAACAGCGGTGCCCAGTAGCAATGGATCATGACAACAACATGGGAAAAAGGCATACCAGCAGTGCAAGGTTGGTGGCATGTTGGATGAGGTCGTCACGCAAAGTGCAACAGATGCAGCCATTTTGCATCTCGACCATCTTGTCTTGCACATTGAGCACTTGTTCGGATTTGACAAGCATGGCATCGATGTTGACCTCGGCCATGTCGTTCACGATCACGGCCACCCGTAAGCCTTCAAGGTTGACTGGGTGTCCATGTGACTCAGTCAGAAATGATGACTAGGGCTGAGGTTTGGATCCAACTTGAACTGGAAGAAACTCTAAACCCAAAACCCTACACTCCAAAACCCTCAACCCCTAAACACAAAACCCAAAACCCTAAACCCCTAAACACAAAACCCCAAAACCCAAAGCCCCAAAACCTAAAGCCCTAGCAGTGCTCGGTGCCCTGGGCCTTCTTGATTGTGAAGGACATGCGTCAACAAGCTGGTCTTGCCAGCCCCGAGGAAGCCGCTGAGAACCGTCACTGGCAGCCTAGGTTGCCGTTGAGGAATTTAACTTAAGATACCCGAAGGAGGACATGTAGGAAATAGAAAGGATTTATCGTAACCTGGTTTAAGATACCATAATGAAAATATCTAGGAAATAATAGGGATTCCTGATTATCGTAACTGTGTTAAAGTTGGTTAACAGCAGCCCAGAAGCAGGCTGTCCACTTCCATGGGTGCCATGGCGAAGTAGCACAGCTTCGCAGCTCACTGATGCTGGAACAAAACTGCAGAGGCAGCTGAAGTCCCCGAAACCCTAAGCCCTGACCCCTAAACCCGAAACCCTAAACCCTGACCCCTAAACCCTAGACCCGAAACCCCAAATACTCAAGACTGTCTCAAGCACCGCCACAGCCTACCAAAGTCTGCTTCGGAAGACGCAGTACATGAAGCCCTGCATGAATTGCTGAGTGATACCAGGCTACTAGCCTGGAGACACCGGAAGGCTGACAATAGCACGCGACTCTCTGAAAACCACCGGCTTAGGGTTCACCCATAAGCCCTAAAGTAGTTCCTTTTTGGGGTTCATATATAGAATCCTATAAGGTACCCCCTGTCAGGAACTACTATGGGGCTTATGGGTAGGGTTTCTGAATACAAACCTGAGAAGTGCAAACTTGGAGGCAGCATCGTCAGACAAATTTCGGCTAGGGGGTGCTGCTATTGCTGCCACTCCCATGCCCGCCTCACTATGATCTAGGGTTTTCCTGACTGGACAGTCGGACTTGGAGTCTTGAGCGACGACGGTGAAACGTACAACCCAAACATCTCCATACCAACACTCAGCGGTTTTCGTAAATTCCGTAAGATAAATCCGAATTACAGATGTTCCTCCATAAAGTCCAATAAGGCTCTCGCGAAGAGACCCCCCGAGAAAGCCCAGCCTGCTCCACATGGCCGCTAGAGGGTGGGCACTTTTGCTTAGGGGCTGAGTACCCTAGCCCAAAAAAGGTTAACCTTTTGAAATATAGTAGGATTATAAGAGCCCCAAAAGGTTAAAGGTTACCTACTCAGCCACTAAGCTTTTGCAGTATCTTAACCGTACAGGGACTACGTATGCAGGAATATCGGAATAATATCGGGGCGTTGATAATTAGAATAGGGTTTTGGGGTATACTATACTGTAATTATTACAAGGAACCGCCAAAATAGTAGCGGTAATTGTTTAGGCCCCTATAATAACGAAAACAATATTGATAGCATCCATTGGGCATTTTGCATCCTGGGACTTATAGTTTTGCAGAAAGAACAACTGAGTTGTAGTTCTGGGGCCCTGACAAGTATGCATGTATAGGTACCTCTATAGGAACCATAATGGAAATTTCAAAGTTTCCCAATGTGCCACCTAGATAAAGAAACATGACTGACAAACACCCAGTATGGCCCCAAAGCCTGCAGAGACCGCGGCAGGGTGAAAAAATAAATGCGGATGACCAAGCTTGTTAGAGTTGCCGGCCAGCCCGCACCTGATTTTGGTCGGGGATTGGGTTCTACATGGGCGCAGTGGGCGCTCTTTCGATTTAGCACCAAAGGGTTCGTAAGATGGATTGCCGAGGGTGTTTGTCTGTAGGGGTGACAAGTCAAAGACGCCTGCAATGAATTAAGGTCGGCGCTGAAAGTTTCGGAAACGTGTTTCCCTAAACCCTAAACCCTAAACCGTGGCTCTCCGCTAGCTCCTCATAAAGGAGCTTGGCCTTGGTTACTACCAATATTCTATGCTTAAGTACGGAACTGTGAGGAGCAATGTTGGTAATTGTTCCGAGCCCTTCATCAAGCCAGGATCTTTCCTTGGTTTTTGTTCGACTTTTTGTGGCGGCTTGTGATTGCCGTTAGTCGTAGTAGTGCGGTGCTACCAGGTGACGACAACGATCGTTATGGTCATGGTGATGACTTCACGATGCGTCTTCGCGCCGGTCGATGCGCAGACTTACTTGCCACGATCATAGAAGCAGTAGATCACACTATAGCAACGACACACCCGGGAATTTCATGCCTTGGCATCATCTGTCTCCTTTGTAAACACATAGGTAGTTGTCAAAATTATGGGCCCTTTTGGGGTACCCTAAATAATAGGTGCCGTATTATAATAAGGACCCCAAAAGGGACCATAATTTTGACAACCACCCACATGCGAGTTGTTGGTAAAGCTTATCGAAGAACTGGGCCCCGACGAGGAAGACCACAGCACATGAGAGCCGCACTTGTTGAAGGAAACTACAGGTGGGGAGTTTAGGGTACATAAGGCTTCTATAAGGCTTCTATAAGGTCTATAGACCTTCTATAAGGCTCCCATAACGGGAACTACCCACCTGAAAATGTCCTAGAACTTGGGTGCAGACACGAGATGATCGGGAGTGCTGGCCTCTCATACTTTTCGCGATACCACTGCAGTTTAACCATGACACACAGAGAGAGCAGCAGCTGTAGTGAGCTTTGAATTGGCCCTGATAGTTGCAGTCGTCATCTCCATCCTCACATTCTGACATTCAGCTTCATGCTCGTCTGCACAATCGCAACCTGCATCATCAGCATCAGTCTGATCCTCCTCCTCCTCCTCCTCTTAGTCGCTTCACGAACCTGGACCACAGAAGCGCAAAATCCCTGAACCTTAAACCCTAAACCCCTAACGTTGAAACGCCCCTAAGCCCTTGCCCAAAACCTTTTAAATCTACAAGCCACTCGGGTCCCCTGCTTCTGGCAATTTGCGGCATGGCAACTGCTGCTCCGTAGACCTGAGATCGTGTTTTCGGCTTTTTAGGGCTTTTTAGAACTTTCGGGTGCTTTGGATTGAGGCTGTGGTGTCGGGCTTAGGCATGTTGGGGTTTAGGGTCCTTCCTTCCCTTGGCAGCCTGATGTATGTATGAATGAAAACAAAACACCTAACTCCCAGAGTAACATCCTTCAGGCGGCACCCTAAACCCTAAACCCTAAACCCTAGAACCCTAAACCCTAAACCCTAAACCCTAAACCCAACACCCAGGTGGCTCTTTCGAGGCTCATTCACCATCCGTGCAGCATCAAACGACGAATCGGCAGACCGAGAAGGCCCCGTAAGTGGAAGGAATACGGTTTAGGGTTTAGGGTTTAAGATTTAGGATTTGGGGTTTAGGGTTTAGGGTTTAGGGTTTAAGATTTAGGATTTGGGGTTTAGGGTTTAGGGTTTACGGTTTAGGGTTTTCAGTTTAGGCTTACACGCAGCTGAATAGACCGACCTCTTTAGGGTTCCTTCTTATGGCTTCCAGATATTGTTCCTTAAACGAGTAGGGTTTAGGGTTTAGGGTTTAGGGTTTAGGGTTTAGGGTCTTTTGAGCCACGCGTAGGGTTTAGGGTTCCGAACACCTGGCAGTTGAAGGGCTCTGCCGGGTCACAACCTAGTGACCAAGCATATGGCATACGTCTTGAGTATGCTATGGTATATTGTAGTATATTTTCTTATGTCTTGACATATTCTATTGTTGCATATTACCTTGCATTGTAAGATGCTGTAGTATACTTGTAGTATACTCTCCTATATTACAGTATTGTATATCCTAGTACAGTACCATCTGTAGGGTTTGCAGCTGTGGGTCTACCTTTGAGTATCTGATTTCAGGAATATCTCTTAGTTTACGGTTTAGGGTTTGGGGTTGTCAAGATCAAGAGCCCAATGCCCCGGACCTCTAAATCAAGAGATGCAGGGAACCCTGATAGCCCAATACCTTCAAACGAAGGATATCCCTTCAATTTTGCAGGCATGCCGTTATGCCCTAAGCGCTCAACCCTAAACCCTAAACCTTAAACCCTAAACCTTGAACCGTAAACCGTGAACCCTATAACACTGAAACCCTGAAACCCGAAACCTCAGACCCTGAACCTTAAACCCTAAACCGTGAACCCTATAACCCTGAAGCCCTAAACCTCAGTCCCTCAAGGAGTATTGGGATTGGGCTGTGGGGACTCTTGGAGCCGCGGCAGAGTCTGCCTCAATGGAGCAATAGCCGTCACCCTCCATCCTTCGAGGATTGGAGACTCAGGGTCTGGGGGTTTAGAGGTTTTGGGTTTTGGGTTTAGGGGTTTAGGGGTTTTGGGGTTTAGGGCTTTTGGGGTTTAGGGTCTGGGGGTTTAGGGGTTTAGGGTTTTAGGGTTTTGGGCTTAGGGTTGAGGGGTTTGGGGGTTTAGGGTCTAGGGGTTTAGGGGTTTAGGGTTTTAGGG